GATTTAGCAATTGAATTATGTCTAGTAGACACATAAACCAAACCTTTCTCATCAGCTACAACAACCTTTAGTTGCATAAATAACCATTGCCAAGAAAGATCATTCTCTGAATCAGCAAACCCAAACACAATTGGATACAAATTAGAGTTATCGTCTACGTCTGTAGCAACAAGCAGAAGTCCTTTCTATTTGCTCTTCAAAAAAGTTTCATCAACTACAATCACCCTCTTAATGGCATTGTAGAATCCTCTTATGGATTGACCAAATGAAACAAACAGATACTTGAATTTACCATTGTAATCAGTTTGGTAATTAGTATGCATACCAGGATTAGCTTCTTGCAACATGTGCAAGTATTTTGGTATTACAAAACTTTTTTCCGGACTACCTCTAACAGCACTAACCGCATATTCACGTGACTCCCATGCTAGGGCATAAGAGAGCTCGCATCCATGCTTCGTATGCATAATGTTGATGATATCATTCGGTTTAGGTCCTTCCTTGACACCCATATATTTATGCATAATAAGATTTACAATCGTTATTGCTGAAACTATCCAAGAGAATTTGTTTTTATTTGAAGGAACACATGTATGTTCAGCCACATACTTGTCTATTTTGAAATATGTAGCCCCTCTAAACACTTTGTGCAAACACTCCATTTGCAAACGCTCTCTTTGCAGCGAATACACCATAATCCCTTATCCGATTTCTTCACCTTGTAGTCGGAAGTATACTTCATCACACATATTTCATAGTTACCTTTAAGTTCACCTTGAAATTCTGGCAGGCTTTTCAGAAAGCGTTAGGAACCAACGTTCATCTGAGTACTGTCTATCACCCCCAAATGGACGAACAATCGGAAAGCACGATTCAGACCCTCAAGAACATGCTCTGGGCGTGTGTCCTTGACTGGGCGGGGAAGTGGGGCGAGTATCTTCCATTAGCTGAGTTTGCCTACAACAACAGTTATCATGCAAGTATTGGCATGTCTTCATACGAGGCTTTATATGGTATATCATGTTGCACTCCCCTCTATTGGACTAAGGTGGGGGTGCGACGGGACTTACAGCCGAAATTGGTCCAAAAGACGGTTGAGCAAGTGGAATTGCTTAAGGAGAGGCTAAAGGAAGCCCACGACCGTTAGAATAGTTATGCCAACAAGCGTAAGAAAGATTTAGAGGTCTACCTGAAGATGAGAACGCTCAAAAGTGTGAAAGAGATTAGGAAGCTGAAAAAGTTTAAGTCGAGGTATGTGGGACCATATAGGGTTATTGAAAGGATTGGGGCAGTGGTATATCATTTGGACTTGCCACCGGATTTGATTAACTTTCATGATGTGTTCCATGTGTCTGTGTTGAGAAAGGTAGTTAGAGACCTTGAGCTGATACAACCTAATCCGCCAGTGGGTGTGAGTGTGAACCTCCGGATGCGAAGCACGCCTGTCTTGATAAAGGATCAGATAAGGGACGCTCAGGGGAAGGAAACCCGGATGGTCTTGTTGTGTTGGGAAAGAGATAGGATTAGTGAGGAAACATGGGAAGAGGAAAATGAAATGAAGAAATGGTGTTCTAAACTTTTTGAGGGTGCGAAAGGATCGCAGGGTATGTGCAAGAACTCGGAGACGAATTCCTCTAACGAAGGGGAGAATTGTAACAACCTGGATACAGGTCCAAAAGAAAAAGAAAAGATCTATGAGTTTAAAGCCCAAAAGGAAAAGGCTTTAGGGTTTTCCCATGACCTCCTCTATATAAAGGGAGCTAGAGAGTCAGAAATTTTATCATAATTCTCAGAGCACTGAGAGATAGAAACTATAAACCATAGTCGAGCAACCCTAAACCGCCGCCGCCGAGGAGAGGAGCCGCCATTCATTCGCTCCTAGCCATTGTCTTCTTGAATCCTTTGCTTCACGTCGTTAGATCCCTAAACCCTAGTTCTCTTTAGCTTTCATTTGATTAGGCCAAGTTGGTTTTTGCAAAACTATTGAATTCTATTTATGAAAAGGTATTAATTTTGAGATTATTGTATAGTGACTTGGTTGAAAAGTTAAGTGGATTGTATACCGTCTCTAAATGATGAGAGGCGGGTGTTACACAAAGTGTCTTGAAGAAGATATACGATATTGACTATCTTTTGATGGATTTATGAGGCATTAGATAAGACTCATGTACCTGTTATAGTGAATCCAGAATGAGAATCTATTTAATTTTATAATCGAAAATGAACTCCAAGTTTTAATGTCTTGGCCATGTGCTAGACATGCTTTTTATATTATTTAATTGGTATGGCAAGATCAGCTCATGATACACAAGTATTATCAACAACTATATAAGTTGATCTTATGTTTGCTAAGCCTCCAAAAGATATGTATTATCTTGTAGATTTTGAATATGTTAATAGACGCGAATATTTTGAAAATAAAGTAACAGTAGCATATAATATCATCTACAAGAGTTTATGAATGGTTAACCACCATAGAATAGTAAGGAGATGTTTAACTGATAGTATGCATATCTCCGTTTAGTTATAGAACAAACGTTTGGTGTTTGGAAGAATTTAAAATGAATTTTCAAGATATAACATCACTATTCAAAGACGAATTATTATTACTATAATAGAACTTCATAATTTCAATCGAATGAATAAAAATAGAGACATTAACTTTCAGAAAGCAGATTTAGAAACTGATTTAGATGAACGACATAATATAAATATTAATGATGATGCAAACAAGTTCGAGCATCCTCAAAAAATTAAAAAAAAAATGAAAGACAAAACGATCAACACAGAAAAATGATTTAACAACTATGGAAGAAGACAACATTAATGATATGGAACAAGAAACTAATATTCGAAGCGGCAATGAAAGAAAAACAAAAACAAACTGAGGAAGATGTCATATATACTTAATACGATGTTTAAAGAAAAAATAATTATATATCTTGTATGTAAATGATAATAGTATTGGATTTAAGATTTAAAATAAAATTGTATGAACAAAGTATTGTATTTAAGATTTTAGATTTAATTATCATTAATACATAGTTTTCATATCATTAAAAATTATATTTACTTTTTAATGAATATAATGTTATTTGATAACTAACAAATCTATAATTATTGAAGTTTTTGAATGTATCTAAATCATATATTTAATTACTTAAATCTTTTTTCAATGTAGCTATATATCCACATCATAATTTTTTTATGGATTTTAATTTTTTTAATTTTGTAAAGAATTTTATATATTCTGTATATAGATACTTTACAAACCATAAAAAACTGCAAATTATCCAATTTTAAATTTTTAATAGACTTTTAGTCTTTTACATACGAATTGTTTTGGAAATTCACATGATATAATTTGAAAGTAAAAAAGAAACACCCATTCTACAAACCACAAACCACAAAAAATTGTAAATTATTTATAAATAGAAAAATTAGAATATAATTTTGAATAAGAAATAAATAGAATATGTAAGATTGATAAATATTTTATTTTGTTGATCTCGATAAAAAGCGACATAAAAAAGCCAAATGAATAAAAATATTTAATAAAAAATATAAATTCATACAACAACATATAAGTATAAGAGCGAGTTTTTTAATAATTTATATTTAAAAAGTAAATTTACAATATGTCTATATATTTTTGTGATAATAAAAAATATTTAAAATTAACAAGGACAAAAAATATGAAAAAATAAACATAATAATAATATAAAAATATAATTTCGAACAAAAAATAAAGAGAATTAGTGAGATTGATGGTGAAATTATTTTATCGATCTCACTAAAAATAAGTGATATAAATAAAAAAATAAAATATATATATATAATAAGAGTGATTTTGTTTTACAATTAATTCATCATGATTTTCTATTAAAAAACAACTTCCCAATAGATGTATATATTTTAGAATAATACAAAATTAAAACATCATTTATAACTAAAAAAGAAAAAAATAAATAGTAAAATGATAAACATAATAGTAATATAAACATATAGAATTATAAAATAAAAAATTGAACTATCAAATCAGCAAATTCTCTTTGAAATATAAATTCAAAATATTTTGAATAAGAAAGAAAAAGAATGAATGAATTAACTTTGTTAATCTCACTATAAATTAAAAAAATAAAATAAAAGTTAACTGAATAGAAATATTCAGTGAAAAATCATAAATATTTATAACAATGTATAAATATATAAAAAAGTTTTTTAACAATTAACATTTTACAATATTTATTAGAAAAATAATTTTACAAGAGTCTCATATTTTAAAATAATGAAAAAATAAAAGTAACATTTTCAGTTTAAAAAAACAAATATAAAACAGAATAAAATAAATATAATAATAATATAAGTTTATAAAAATTAAAATTAAATTTACAAATAAATCCCCATAACACGCGGATCAGTTTCTAATTGTTTAAATGTAAATCCTAGTGTCATGCTTGTAGTATAATAATCAGAAGTTCATTTAAATTATAAAGACCATCAAAAGTCCAAATTATAAATGAAATTAAAAAATACATAAATCATATTTTAATGTGTCAAAGCATCACAAATGATATTGAGTTTTTCTTTTGTAACAAATTCACTAAATATTTAAAATATGTTTATTACAAAGTTGATGAATTATTATTGATCGAAATTTAAAAATTAAGGATTTATTTATTATTTTTCACTAAAAGATATAATTATCCATGTGAGGTGCGGGTTTGCTCCCGTAGTAAAGGTAATCGGCTTTCGATTTTAACAACATTGCTGTAAAAACTGTGAACTTTTTACTACGTTAAAAAAGTTGACCTCCTAACACTTACCCATCGAAGCCATTACTGTATACGTAAAACAGCGAAACACATTTATCCGAAAACCCAAACTCCTTACTTCTCAACGCCGCCGTTTTATCGCCGTCGTCGAACACTTTTTCAACCGCCGTCGAGTCCCGGACGAATTCGAAGGTTCATCGCCGTCATAATACCGCCGCAGATATAATGACTATGTCCGGCAGAAAAACCGATCCCGGCGGCGATGGCCGAGACTCTGAATCTGCTACAGCAACCGAATTAGAGTCTCTCCGTAATCGCGTCAAGGTCTGCTCTTTGCCTCTTTGGCTTAAGGGTTTTTGTTAGTGAAACGATTCAAATACACAGTGCCTGAACTTTAAAATTGTGAATTGTATTCAATCTTCGGTGTATTCTCTATTTCATTAGGAGTTAGAGGCGGAAAATGCTAAATTGTTATCCCAGATTTCAAGCTGCCAATGCCAACAGGTGAACAATGTTCTTACCCTTGATTTTGACTTCACCTTGTTTGGGCTCGAAATTGCTAAGAACCTCAATGTGATTGATGTTTTACGTTGTAGATGGAAGTAAAGCATGATGTGTCTGTGTTAGATTCTGGAAGCTTAGTTAGGAGAAGCAGGAAAGCCAGAAAACGAAATGATAAAAGCATACCGAGTCATCTCATCTCAAGGAGATATATTGCTCTAAAAATCATGTATTTTGGTAAGAGGTATGCCATATGTTTTTTTTTATTGTTGCTTCTCGTCTCCATCTCAATGTCATGATTCCTAATCGTATAAATGAAATAACTCTTATGTTGTTGTAGATTTTATGGCTTCTCAGCAGAAGCACAAATGGAACCAAGTATTGAGGTGCGTTTGTGTTTGTCGTCTGTTTACAAATGACTAGTGTGTAATTATACAATGAGTAACTTGTGCTTTGTTCCTGCAGTCAGAAATTTGGAAAGCACTCGAAAGGACAAGACTTTTAGTTGGCGACAAGAAAGACTCTAATTACTCGAGATGCGGGAGAACAGATAAAGGTGTTTCGTCAACAGGGCAGGTGTGATTGCTTGAGCATCTCCTGAATGTATTACTTAGCTTCTCTTGCATTTTACGGCCGTGTGGAAGCACTTGCTCATATATAAGTATTTGATTGTTGATGCAGGTGATTGCTTTGTTTTTAAGGTCAAGGCTAAAGACAGCTCCTGGAGACTCTGAAGCCCATGTTGATGGGAAAACTAATGAGAGTAAGTTTACTCTGAGAATGTAACTAAGTGTAGTGGTTTTGCCTCTCTCGGAATGGTGTTTTCTGTAAGTCTCTGCTCTCTCTTGTTTAGGACCAGAGTATGATTATGTAAGAGTGCTGAATCGTGCTCTCCCTGATGACATTCGAGTTTTGGGATGGTCTCCTGCTCCTATTGACTTTCATGCAAGGTATGTGCGTTGCCCTTTAGATTCCTGAGTAATATGTGAACTTATTATTGGAAGCTGCATGCTTACGTTTTTTGTTTCCTTGGGTGTGCAGGTTCAGTTGTTCGGCTAGAGAATATAAGTATTTCTTCTGGAAACAAAACCTAAATCTTTCGGTGCGGTGGTGATCATCTACACTTGTTTATATAGTCAAAGGACTTCAAAAATGAAACAATCTAATGAAACAATCGAGATGCTTAATATTTGATTCTTGTTTTCCTCTAGGCCATGGACATTGCCGGTAAGAAGTTCATTGGGGAGCATGATTTCAGAAACTTTTGCAAAATGGACGTGGCAAATGTGCATTGCTATACACGGCGTGTTACTTTCTTTGAAGTCTCTCCTTGTCAAAACAGGTCAGCACATTTTCTGTTTCCCCTGTTTAGTGCATTTGTATTCTTTAAAGCGATCTAGGATGCTATCGAGACCAAAAGATTTTCAGGAGCTAGAGAAATATAATGGTGGACCTTTAGGATTATAGCCTATATGACTATTGCAGTTGGAAGAATTTTAAGGGTAGACAAAATCACAAGAACAATATAGATTTTGCATCCTCTTGGGCACAATGGCACTCATTTTTAAACTCACACCAGTCTTTCTGATCATATAGCTTTGTAATCTTTGTCTTTTGGCCCTAAACCTTTTTTTCGTCTTGTAAAGTCACGAGGGTGCTCAGCTTTGCACATTTACAATGAGAGGCAGTGCTTTCCTGTGGCACCAGGTCCGAGCCATGGTCGCTGTGCTATTCATGATTGGGCAGGGCGTTGAATCGGTTGATGTAAGTTCTTGTTTTCTTCATGTTTGTTCCAGTTTCCCGTATGTTGGTTCTGCGATGAGCTAGATGGTACTTACGCAGGTGATAGATACATTGTTGGACACCAAGAAAACGCCAAGAAAACCTCAATACCTTTTGGCCTCGGAGATCCCTTTAGTCCTCCGTACATGCGAATTCGAAAATGTTGACTTCAAATGTTCTTCAGGTAATATCAAAAATGCTTGCTCGAGATATCTTGGAAATGGTTTAAGATCCATACGCTAGTGATAATAACACCAACCTCTTTTCATGTCTTGAAAGGTGCTGCAGAGTCGCTACGGACTCATTTCAAGAATGAGTCACTAAGTTACCAATTAGAATCTGTGATTTTCCAGGAAGCTCTCAACAACTGTTTACCTCTAGAGAATGGTACGATAATCAGTTTTCTTCTTTTCACCTAAAGTAGTAGCATGAGTCTCACGAAAATGCTCATAAGTGGTTTTTAATGTTTCGATATACAACAGAGGAAAGGTCGTACAATGGCGTAGTAGAAAAGAAGAAGAAAGGAGCAGTACACGTTCCTCTATTGTCTCGACCAACTGAGCGTAAGTCTCTCTATATCTCTCACTGCAACATTTACGGATGCAACGATGGAGAGAAGCTCATAATATGATCCTCTTGGTTTGGTTTCTTTTTTTTTTGGTGTTTACAGCTTCTTATGACGAACGATCTGCAAAACTAAAACCCAGACCAGAAGAAACATGTCCTGTCTAGTGTGTAAGGTGGTTCTCGACCATCAAAGAACAGAGAAAGCTCCGGTGTTTGTTTGTTGTACCAGTTGATTGATGATATAAATTTATGATTTCTGTTCTAAATTTCTAACTCATAATTTATATAGATTCATCATAATTTTGTTTGAGTTCACTTTAAAATTCATATGTAAAAATTTTATCATAAATTTTTTATTTTTTATTTATTTTGAAATACTGATTAACAGTATAAGAGAATCTTAAAAAATGTCAAAACTAATCGTAAATAATTCAAACATCAAGAATTGATTACGATTAATAACAACCTTTAAGTCCTTAACAATACGTTAGTATCAGGAAGAAGAAGATGTTGTCGGAAGAAAACGGCTTCGGTCGAGTCACAGTTAGATTTTAGGTAACTTCGAATCAAAAACGTTTCTGGCTCAGCCTCAATTCAAATGGAATGGCTCGAGTTTACATGGAGACGCTAATACAGAGATGCGTCACTTTCTCTCAAATCAAACAGCTTCATTCACATTTCCTCACCGCCGGCCATTTCCAATCTTCTTTCCTCCGTTCTCGCCTCCTCGATCGCTGCGCCGTTTCTCCATCCGGAGACCTTTCCTTCGCCGTTGAGATTTTCCGTCACATCCCTAAACCGTTAACCAATGACTGGAACGCAATCATCCGCGGCTTCGCCGCAAGTTCTCAGCCGTCGATCGCGTTTTCATGGTACCGCTCAATGTTGCAGCAATCTTCTTCTTCACCGTCTCTGTGTAGAGTCGACGCTCTCACTTGCTCCTTCACGCTTAAAGCCTGTGCGCGTGCGCTCTCCTCCTCCGCGACGGCGCAGCTTCACGCTCAGAGTAACCGCCGCGGTTTATTCGCCGACGCGCTTCTCTGCACGACGCTGCTCGACGCGTACTCGAAAAACGGAGATTTGATCAGCGCGCAGAAGCTGTTCGACGAAATGCCTGAGAGAGATGTCGCGTCGTGGAACGCTTTGATCGCTGGATTAGCGTCTGGAAACCGCGCTCACGAGGCGTTGGAGGTTTATAAACGAATGGAATCAGAAGGAGTTCGAAGAAACGAGATTACCGTTGTTGCAGCTATGGGAGCTTGTTCTCATCTCGGTGCTATTAAAGAGGGCGAAAAGATCCTTGATTACATTAAAGAAGCAAACTTGGATCAAAACGTGATTGTTGGCAACGCGGCGATCGATATGTACACGAAATGCGGGTTTGTGGATAAAGCTTTTCGAGTTTTCGATCGAATCACAAGCAACAAGAAGAGCGTTGTTACATGGAACACGATGATCATGGGGTTCGCAGTACACGGAGAAGCACAAAGAGCGATAGAGCTATTCGAGAAACTTGAGAATGAGAACAATAGCATCATCAAGCCTGATGATGTCTCGTACCTAGCTGCGTTAACCGCGTGCAGACACTCCGGTTTAGTCGAGTACGGTACATCGATATTCGAAAACATGGCTTGTAAAGGAGTAGAGCCAAACATGAAGCATTACGGTTGTGTGGTTGATCTTTTAGGCCGTGCGGGTAGGCTGAGAGAAGCTCACGATGTTATATCCTCGATGTCGATGGTTCCGGATCCTGTTCTGTGGCAGAGCCTTCTCGGAGCTTCCGAGATTCACAAGAATGTGGAAATGGCTGAGATTGCTTCGAGGAAACTTGTGGAAATGGGTGTTAACAACGACGGAGATTTCGTGTTGCTATCGAATGTTTATGCGGCGCAGGGACGGTGGAAGGACGTAGGACGAGTGAGAGATGATATGGAGACCAAACAAGTAAAGAAAGTTCCCGGTCTCAGCTATATAGAAGCCGAAGGAACGATTCATAAATTTTACAATAGTGACAAGATCCATCAACAGTGGACAGAGATTTATGAGAAAATCGACGAGATCAGGTATATAACTAAGTTCTAACACAAACAATAATTTAACAGCTAAGATTGGCAAAAATGGGCGTTTGAGATTGGCAAATTGTAATGCATTTTGATTTGATGAGATTAGGTTCAAGATAAGGGAAGATGGTTACGTGGCGCAGACGGGACTTGTGTTGCACGACATTGGAGAGGAAGAGAAAGAGAACGCTTTGTGTTATCACAGCGAGAAATTGGCGGTGGCGTACGGACTGATGATGATAGATGGTGCGGAGGAGGAGAGTCCGGTGAGGGTTATAAAGAACCTGAGGATATGTGGGGACTGTCACGTTGTGTTCAAACATATCTCAAAGGTTTATAAGAGAGAGATCATTGTTAGGGATCGAGTTCGGTTTCATAGGTTCAAAGATGGGTCTTGTTCTTGCGGAGATTACTGGTGACATTACAAAATTAAGAGGCGGTGATTATTTTTATGCTTCTTGCTAGATCTTGGACTCGGCTCTTTTTTTTTTTACAGACTTTAATGAGTAATGACAATGAAACAATAATATATATATATTACATATTTCGTTAAAGCAAGAATTGGTGAAAAAGTCTAACTTGTGGTATTTTCTTGTTGAACAACGTGGATCGAACTAGACTCATTCACTTATGTTTGTAAGGAGAGAAATAACAAAAGACATGGTGAAACTTTGTCACAACAAACTCCACTCATTCAACTCATCAATAAAGACCAACCCTAATGCAGATCTGTAGGGGTCTAATGACAAGTTTTTAGTAATATAACTGCATTAAAAAATTATACAGAATGTCTAATATTTTAGAGGGTCTAAAATAAAATTTTTTTTTTAGTTTAAGAACAGACAATTAGCAAAATATGAATAGAAAAAAAAATTAACAAAAAAAAAAAATCTACCAAATATTAATAATTAATCTTTAAGACCCTCCGTACTAATGGTGTTATAAGATACGAAGAAGTCCTTGTCAAATGGTTCAGCTCATCAATAAAGCACTTAGGGATAGAATCTCATCGATTCTAAAATTGGATATAAGACCATTCATAATAATGGGAGTCTTTTAATTACTTTATATACATATAATTAATATTTTAATAGTAGATTTCTCCTTTGAGAGAATTAAAGTGAGTTTTTCATTTTTTAAAAAGACTATTAATAATATATTAATTTAAAATGATATGTATATATAAATTAATATGTATATTGATGCAGATGCTCTAAGATATCAAAAAAGTACTTGTCAACTGGTTCGTGACTCGTGACTAACTTATATTGAGGGCCTATTCTGTTTAAATTAATCTATTTTCTGTTGCAATAGATGTAAAACAGTTTTTTTTTTAATAAATTTTACATTCACTTCAAAAAGAACTTTTTTACTATTACACCGAAAACAATTCAATGAAATGATACCTCTAGATAAATTATACTTTTTGAGTACTATCCCAACCTTGTGAACACACATGGGACTGAAAAAACCTGTGTCTCAAAACCTTGGTACTAATCTCTTGATATTTCTCTGATTTTATCTCAATCTCATTAAAAATCGAGATGAGCCCAAAGCCATATCAATCGACCACTTTCGTTTTAGAGATTTTCACTAGATCAAATCAAATAGAATAGAGAAAGTGGTAAATTGTATGGTTTGCATTCTGTTAATTATTCAGTTGTGAATTTTGACTTCTTAATCGATTTAGAATAGTATAACATCATAGGGCTATAAGTTTCAATTTAGAATTCAGAACAAGGCATTCGCCAAAGAAAACAAATACTAGTTTAAGAAATCCGATGATAAATATATTAAAAAGAAAGAAAAATTACATTTGAAGTTTCTCATCTCATCCTCAGTTAATAATAACATCTTCAACCTTTAGATGTTGTGCATCTTGCCACCTACGGGCTTAAGCATTGAAGGGCAAAAACGTCATTCCGCCCATAAACGGTTGCAGAACCTCAGGGGTAGTTCTCGAGAATGCAGCAAATGGTCCTCTCTGCCGTGGTAAGAGTCGAATTCAGCATATGCACATACTGCTTCGTCTCCTCATTGTTCCTTTTCTGACTGTATCTGATGTTAAGCCTGCGAGCCTGATAGTCTGTACAGTTGGAACAGGACACAAGCTCTCCGTAAGTACCTGACGCGGGAAACCATCCTTCCAAGTCATACTTAAACGCAGCTGCATCGTTCAAGTCTCCCGAGGCAACCGACACGATTCGGTACGGAAGCTTAAGCACTTGATAAAACTCTTTGTTGTTCTTCATCATCTCATCGAGCATTGCCCACGAATCATCAGGACGAGTGATGCAAAACTGTTCAACTTTTTCAAACTCGTGAACACAGAAAATGCCACGTGTGTCTCTCCCATGCGAACCAGCTTCTTTTCTAAAGCACATGGAGCGACCGGCGTATCTTATGGGAAGCTCGCTCGGATGGATCCATTTGTCTTTATGGATTGCACAAAAAGGTTCCTTAGCCGTTGCGATAAGGTATATGTCGTCATCTCCTTCACCATCACCAGACACCTTGTAAAGCTCTTCATCAAACTGTGCCAACTGTGCGCACTTGGCCATGACATCCTTCCTCATTAAATGAGGATGCTGCACTGCTTCGAATCCTCTCTCTCTGCTGGCTGTTTGGCAAAAATGGGCGTCGGATTTCGAGAAAACGTCGGATTTCGATTCGCCAGTTCGCTGCTGGCTGTTTGGTAGTGACTGCTGCAGGAATGGCTTCATGTTCCGTGGCTGTAATCTGGAGAACTTCTTGAATCAGAGTTATGATGGGTTGGGAAATCCCTTGAACCGGGATAGTTCTTCTGAGGGCTGAGTCTCTATTCGATGTTAGAGCAGCTAAAGCATCGGCACCCGTATTGGCAGATCGGTCATTTTGATGTAACTCGAAGGTTGTGAATTCCGAAGCCAATTGCTTCACTAATTTCAGATGGGCGTCCGTTTGATCGTCCTTTGCATCGTATTCTCCACTGAATTGCTTGGTGACGAGCTGTGAATCACTGAATGCCCGTATATGTTGCACATTCATCCCTCGAGCTAGACAGAGACCTCCGATAAGTGCTTCGTGTTCGGCCTTGTTGTTGGATGCGTTGAATTCTAAGAAAAAGCATTGCTCGAGGAGTTCTCTAGTGGCGGATTCAAAGAGGATGTCGATGCCCTCCCCTAAGCGAGACGATGCCCCGTCAACGTGTAAAGTCCACGTTTCTGAATTTGTCGGGTCGATGTTCAGGAGTTTGGGTGATAGTTCGATCAGGTAATCTGCCAAAACCTGAGATTGTGTAGTGGTTCATGTTTGGTATTCGATATCGAACTCAGGTAGTTCAATAGTCCACGTCGCCATACGCCCAGATTGTGTCAGACTGTGTAAAATTGACCGAAGAGGTTGACTAGTCAGTACGGCTATTGAATGCGACTGAAAATAAGGATGCAGTTTTCGAGAGGCGACAACGACCGCAAGGGAAAGCTTTTCCAAAATTGGGTAACAAGTTTCGGCGCCATCCAAACTTTTGCTGAAATAGAAGATCGACTTCTGCTCTCCACGGTCTTCTCGAACTAAAACGCCGCTAATGGCTGCACTGGAGACCGCGATGTAGAGGAGTAAGGTATCACCGTGCTCGGGTTTTGCCAGGATCGGGGGTGTGAAAGGTGAGTCTCGAGTTGCATGAACGCTTCTTTACACTTTTTATCCCACTCAAACAGTTTGTTGCCTCAAAGGAGTTGGTAGAAAGGCAGGCACTTATCGGTAGATCGCGATATGAATCGATTTAGTGCGGCTATTCTTCCTGTCAGACGTTGAACTTCACGAGTATTCCTTGGTGAAGGTAACTCCAGGATCGCGGAGATCTGTTTGGGATTGGCTTCAATCCCACGTTGTGTCACCAAGTAGCCTAAGAATTCTCCCGATGTAACTGCAAAGGTGCATTTTTCAGGGTTGAGCTTCATTCTATATTTGTTGAGACTTCCATCGTCTTGCCCAGCTGGTCGGTGAACATCTTGTTCACAAGGCGTTGATAGGTGGCCCCCGCGTTTTTGAGACCGAAATGCATGACCTTGTAGCAATAAGTGCCTCGATCCGTGATGAATGCGGTTTTTTCACTGTCGTCCGGGTTCATTAGAATCTGGTTGTATCCAGAAAATGCATCCATGAAAGAGAGAGGTTCGTTGCTTGCGGTTGCTTCGACTAGCTGGTCGATACGAAAGAGTGGGAAGCTGTCTTTGGGACAGGCCTTATTGAGATCTGTGAAGTCTACACAAACTCGCCACTTCCTGTTCTTCATCTTGACCACCACCACTAGGTTATCTAGCCACTCCGGATACTTCACCTCAACGATTGATCCAGCTTTAAGCAGTTTATCCACCTTGTCGTGTATGGCCTATGCTTGCTCTGGTCCTAGTTTTTTTCGTTTTTGTTTGATCGGCTTAAAGGTGAGATCGACGTGTAGTTCGTGGTCGGTGATCTGAGGGCTGATGCCTTTCATGTCTGCCATCGACCATGCGAATGTTCCGACATTCTCCCGAAGAAAAGTGATTAGCTCATCCTGCATACTTGGCAGAAGCTCCATGCCTATGCCTACACAACGCTCAGGATGAGCACCGTTGATGTTGGCTTGAGTAACGAGATTGCTTTTCGGCTTCTCTTGATGGACTATTCGTGGATCAAAGTCGTTGCTGTTGCCAATGACGAATGTAGATGCGTTTCGAACGCGCTGTTTGTCGATGTAGCAATACCGAGATACCAACTGGTCACTACGGATGGTGAAGATGCGGCTTCTGATCGGCATCTTGATGCACTGGTGATAGGAGGATGGAACGGCTCGCATGGTGTTTAACTAAGGTATTCCCAGAATGGCGTTGCAGATCATTGGTCGATCAATAACCTCAAATTTAACGGTCACGGATTTTCCTCCCATGGTGACGGGTAATATGATCGTGTCGATCGTCAAAATTGAACCGCCAGCAAAGCCCGTGAGTGGCGATGGTGCGATCTTGATGTCTCCTTCAGTGATGCTCATCTTCTGTAGCG